TGGCAGTTCGGCTGCTGCTGAAATCCTGCTTACAGTAATGAATTTCAATGCCACTTGCCAGCCTAGGAGTGTTTGGGGGAGATAAAAGTCGAGCTTGTGTGCTGTGCCTCTGACCTGGTTTTCAGTTCTAGACAACTTTGTGGTGTGGTTGCAGAAAGTTTGGCTTTCCAGATGTGAGCATGAGGGCTTCGTGTTCTGGCCTGTAGTTCTATTGCTGTCTGCTTTAAGGCAGATTTTTGGAGGGGGGTTGTGGAGGGTTTAACTTGCTTTATAAGGTTTGCTGGAGTCTGCATGCTGATGAGCTGCCAATTTGCATTCTGCACCTTCGCAGCCATCACCTGCCCACAGCAGCACCATTACCCTACTTCCTGGGTTTCTGCTCTATTTTCTACCTGCAGCTTGCTATATATATATTTTTTTTTCTTTAGAGCCTGGGGAATTCTCTTGCTCTCGCTGACTTTGCTTCATTCAAGCAACAAGCCATCTGTCTATTTCAGTCAGGGAGTTTGGATGTCAAAGTTCCAGGCACCTGCCCGATTTCATGAGGAATCATCATGGGAGGAGGGGGTGGTATGCACCAAAGGAAGACCCTGGGGCCCTCTTGATAACCCACCATCTAAACAAGTGCTTGCTAGGCAGCTGTGCAGTAAAGAGTAAAGAGTGCAGTGTGCAGTAAAGAGAAGAATGCTTTGGCTCCTAGCTCCAAGGCTTTTATACGCTTTGTTAGGTGGGGCAAATTGCTTCCCTAGGCTGCTGCAAGGACTAAGTGCCAGGATATATGCTAAGTGTTTTAGCATGTAGCAACAACTTTGGAGTCAGTGACCATGATTCGGCTCTGCCACTTAACAGCCATATGCCCTGGGCATGTCCCTAGCCTTGCTCAAGCTTCTGGTTCCTTTCGGGTAGACTGGGGCAATAACAGGACTTATCTTGTGAGGTTGTGAGGATTAAGATAATGGTAATAAGTCCCATTTCCTGATCGCTTACCCTGTCCAGTACCTACATGTTCTGTAAGAATTAGCATATATATTTGGTCTGATAATGTATCTATTATACTTATGCACATAGAGACACTAAAAAGTAGTTGGTCTCTGTGCATAGAGGTTTCTTATGTATACAATTGCATACAGTTCTATTAAACATATGTGTATATGTACGTATACTAGATATACTATGTATCTTTTAACAGTCTGGTTCTGTTGCTCAGGCGGGAGTGTAGTGGTGCAATTATGGCTCACTGCAACCTTGCACTCCCAGGTTCAAAAGATCGTCTCACCTCAGCCTCCCTAGTAGTTGGCACCACAGGGGTGCCACCACCACACATGGCTCATCTTTTAATCTTTTGTAAGAGACAAGGTCTCCCTATGTTGCTCACAGTGGTCTTGAACTCCTGGGCTCAAGTGATCCTCCAGCCTCTGCCTGCTTCCCCAAAGTGCTGGGATTATAGGTGTGAGCCACCACGCCCAGCCAAAATGTGTATATTATTTGATCTTTAAAATATTTAAATGCATATGGATACATGTACATTGTATAGATATATATGTGATTTATTAGATAAAATGCTTTGTTAGGCTAAGTGTTTTGTGTGTTTTAATGTATCTCATTATAAGAACCCTTTAAGGTAATGTTGCAATTATCCCCAATTCATGGGTGAGGTAACTGAAAGAGGTCAGGAGAGGTTCTAAATGCCTTCTGTATGAACTTAGACACTTGTGTAAATACAGGGATCATATATTTTGTAGAGCGTCTGGCAGTGTATTAACAAATTTTATCTATTCTTAATAGATGTTACAATACTTGGTCCTTTTAGAAAATGACACTATTAGTTTTAAATCCTCTGTATTTTCACCACAATACCACCTTGCTACTGAGACAACGTTACTCCTTTGAGATAGTTGGCAAATTCCCTTCTTCAGGCCAGATACCTGTGATCCAATCAGCCTTTACAGGCCAGAGAGGCTTCACTTTCCGCTACCCCCCACCCCTCAGGTCTTCCAGGAGGGCAACCGGTGCACAGCATGTAAGACTAGACCCTTGTGGGAAACTTTTCAAAAGGGCCAAGGTTCAACCCCAAATCTACCTCCCTTTAAACTGCAGACAGCAGCAATGAGATGCCCTGGCTTTACCCATGGGTCAAAGGACTGGGTTTTATGCTCTGAGATGAACTGGTTCTTGGTCCAATATCAAGCATCAGGTTCAGTCCTGAGCAGTTGTACAATAAGCATTTTGGGCCCTTCAGAAAAGGACTGCAGCTTGTGAGTTTACATGCAAATCTAATATATTCATGTATACACACATATGTATTATCCAGGATGATGAAAAAACACGAACTCCCTCCCCCACCAAAAAAGGCATTGTAAGTTTTCCAACAAAAAATTATTTTGAGAACATTGAGTCCCAGGTATTCACTGGTTTAACAAAAACCTTTCTCATGACACCCTGTGATTGAGAATATGCTTTTGATGTATAGGTACATGTAGGTATGTGCTGGTGGATGTATGCACAGAGATCCCATGTACACATGAACATGCGTGCACACACATTTGTTAGCTCTCCCAACGGTTGTCCTATCTGGAGGAAGAACTGAGCATGAACACAATCAAAAATCAATGGACGATGGTACCTCCTAGGTGACGATGGTTTTAACCTCATGGGTGCTGAAAGCAGAGGGGTCTAGGAATCTGCTTTTTCAAGCTCACCAGGTTCTAAGGTCTATAGCACATAGGTTGGACGGACACTCAGCAGTAACAAAGCTTTCGCTTGTGTGCACATGTGTGTATGTGTGAATGAGTGCTCACGAAAACTGCATTTCCTTCCAAAATGGCTACTTCCCAGGAAGTAGAAAAAGGCTTCAAAAGACATAAGTAGTAAAAGTTGTCAGGATGTTGAGTGGGAACTTAGTGGTCCAAACTAACTGAACTGTATCTGTAATATTTTTGTTAAGATGGAGAAGATTTTACTGTTCAACATCTTGCTTTAAGAAATACATAGCTGGCCAGGCACGGTGGCTCGTGCCTGTCATCCCAGCACTTTAGGAGGCTAAGGTGGGTGGATTACCTGAGGCCAGGAGTTTGAGAACCAGGCTGGCCAACATGGTGAAACCCTATCTCTACTAAAAATGCAAAAAAATAGCTGGATGTGGTAGCAACTGCCTGTAGTCCCAGCTACTAGTGGGGCTGAGGCAGGAGAATCACTTGAACCTGGAAGGCAGAGGTAGCAGTGGGCTGAGATCATGCCACTGCACTCCAGCCTCGGTGACAGAGTGAGACTCCACCTCAAAGAAAAAGCCAGTGGGATGAAGCAGTGGCTACCCCTCAGGCACTGTCCATAGAAAATGCCAGCCAGCCTCTATTTCTGCACGAAGCATATGCATGGCATATGGGCTTCCTTTGGGCTTATTTTCTCACCTCTGCCCACACTCTAGGGGGGAGGAGGACAGGAGTGGGATGGCAAGAATCTGCATCCACTGGCCAGGTCTCTTAAACTCGTTCGCTTCTGCCATCAGTTCTTAAATTTCACATAAAACTTACATGCTTATCTCTATTTTGGATAAGAGCCTGCTTTGGGAGATTCTAATGTAAACTGTATCTGTCATCATCTCTTATATCCTCCTATTTAGTGGGGAAGTGCTCAGGTATAAACCAGTATTTTAGGAAACCCTTACCTCCCTCCCTGTGAGGATAAAGCTAGTGACTTGTTTTAATTAGGATATCTATACATATTGTGTAAGGAGAGCACAAGCATCCCAAGTTTAACATCACCACCACCATTACCACCATCACCATGGATAATAAAGTGGGCATAGACTTCGGGGTCAGACAGTTGATGTTGTGCTCTTTCAACACTCGTTAGATACAGCTTTGGGCAAATCACACGACCTATCGGATACTTCCTGTCCTCGTAAAATAAGGGTAATACTATCCTGAAGGATCAATTGACATAGGCCAATACAAGTTGATAACCTGCATGATCTTCATATATAAGGAGTTTACAGAGAAGGGATGATTACTTATACTGAAATAAGATGTATGCTGTTGAGACAATCTGGAGTGTGGAAGAATGGAGAACAAAGAGCCTGCAGGTGGCACACAGGGTTAAACTCATGCATAAAGTTCTCATTGGTCAGGTGAGAACATGCCTTGTCAGTTAAGGGTGTACATTCTGGAATCCTAGGGTGAGCACCTGCTTGCTGTGTGACCTTGGAGAATTTAATCTGTTTACTTCACCTGTGGATAATAGCGTACAGTTGAAGTACTGCTGCAAGCACTTCAGAGATTGCTTTCTTCTGCATAACAATATCAGCTTAGTGCAGTTATCATCCTGAGGTGTAGGTGAGGAAACTGAGGCACGGTGCGTTGGTTTAATTCATCCTGGATTGCCACCAGCAAGTGACAGAATCAGGGTGTACACTCTGTTTCTAGAACGCACATTTTAAAAACCTTTGTCTTACCACCTTATTGAGAATATTAAGATAAAATGAGAGGATTAAGATACTAAGTAACTACATGGGGTGGACAGTTCAACTCTGATAAGATTTTTAAATAAAGAACACACGACTTTTGGCTCCTAATGGGCACTCAATGTATGCGAACTCTATCACTTGCTATATTTTTTTCATCTTATCCAAGGTCTCCCAAAAAGTCGTTAATAGCTCAAACATATTTGAGATGAGTGATGTTATTTTGTTTTAAACCGAAGACTGACACTTCCATGCTGGGAGACGGCTAAGCTTAGTTCAGTTTCTTAAACAGCTAAGGTGAGTTCCACTGACTTCTTTGGAAAAATGGGTGAGGAAGGGGAAGCACTTTGAACCAGAAAACCAGGGCACTTGCCAGAGGCATCTGGTCTACTGGTGGCCAGGGCAGCCTGCTGCTCACTTGAGCAATACCCACCCCCCCAACCCCATCTCCGGGTGGGCCCAAGTGCAGTCACACCTGTGGACAACAAATCCACCCACTGAGAAAACCCATGGTAGCCAAAAAACTCAGAACACCAACTTGTACCTTTTCAGACTAAGCTTTTATTTTTTTGATATTACAAACCAGTTTTCTTTATTCACAAACCACTGTAAGTGATATAAACACTAATTTCTAAAGACAGATATACACATTTTCTGGGTTTGCAGATTGCGTGATGTGTGTGTTAAGAAGTCACTATATGCCACACATAATAGTAATTTTCCATAATTCATAATAGCAATAGTTATTTAGATAAATGAAAACATTCCAAATAAATACTGTTTAAAAAAAATCCAAAATGTTTGTTTACATTTCTGACATACATTTTTAAAATGACTTATTGGCATCTTGGAGTGCCTAGACAAAAGATTCTGCAACATCAGTTGGCACCCACTTACTCTAAATGATTTTATTAAAACTACATACAGTCATGGGGGAAAGTACAGCTCATTGATGAAAATCAAAACCGCAAATGAATTTTACTTTAACCAACACAGTAAGAATTCTATGTTTGTGATTCGAAACACAATACAAATTCTGGATTTTGAAATCTGAGGCAATTGGGAGAAATTTATTCTCCATAGCCCCCCTGCTCCTACTCTTTCTTTCCTTCCGGAGGATGCCATCGTATTTTAATAACTCGTTTCCTTTAAGAACATCAGTGAGGCACCCATTGCCATAACACTATTTTCCAGGTGGGGGAATGAGAATGTCTCAGTGATGCTATAAAACACCCCCTTGCCCCTCCCCTCACCCACCCAAAGAAGTGTGGTGAAAAGAACACTTCATATGCTTTTGGCTGATAAACCTTCTCCCCCCTCCCCCTTTTCTCTTTTCAAGATCACTATCTGTCTTAGATATGGAAGCTACAGAAACTTTGTTTTCAAATCTTGTGAAACTTTATTGATGGTTTAATATCCAACTGATCTTACGGCATGCACATAGGATGGCAAGAGAAAGCTGGATCACACTTTTTTTTTTAAGTTTTGTTTGGTTTTGTTTTAAAGCAGAGTTGTTACAGCGGATTGGCAGGTTCACAGCGGTGAGTTGATAACTTACTGAAGTGCGTGCCACAGGGCCTGCACTGTACACATGAGGACTTAACCTATCGCAGCAAAACTACTCAGGGACAGCCTGCTGCTGTTTTCATTTAAATACAAAAACAGGAAGACCCGTGACAGATACCCCAACTTAGGTTAACTTGTAAACAGGACAACGTGGAAAGTTCAAACAGAAGTACAGACAAACTGCAATTTTTCAGCTGTGTCACTCTGGCCCTGCATCCAAGAAAGGGGGGGAGACTTTGTTCTTTTGGGATGAAGAGGATGGATCTACTTTGTTGTTGTTGTTTTTTGCATCCTTCTGACAAGTGTCCTGGGCCATGGAGATAGAACTAAAGAGATCATTTTGAGATAATCCTTAGGTATGGGAAAGAGGTGGAAGGGCAGGATCTCACGGACTGAAAAATTGCAGATTGCTCACACAACGCAGTCACGTTTCAAAAAGTACCAAGCTGATGAAAATACCATGATTATCTCTACTCAATGATTGCAATACTTGTAAAATGCTTCTATAAATCCGAATATGATTATCATGTAATTCCATAAAAATTATACGTCTGTCTCTAACAGTTGTTCTACTAGGCTAAAACTAAAGCTTCATAGACTGTTTCTAGAACTTAACAACTCCACTGCACAGATGTAAATTTTATACATTTTTTAACTGGTACAAAGAATTTAAGTTATTACTTTCTTTTTTTGGAAAAAAAGAAAAAAATAGAAACAGTGCTTTTTATCACCTTTTTATTAATGTTATTTTTTCCCTCCCATAATATAAAAGTCAGCAATGATATCAATAATTTATTATACTGGAAGAAATATAAAAAGAATGTTTGTTGATGGCCTAACTAGCGGGGTTTTTTTTTCCCCCTAAATAGCGACTGGTTAAGAAGCTGAATACTGCCGGGTGGAATGGTTTAAAGGGTGGGTTTTTGCACAGCTTCATTCAACTCAGATGCACAAGTGCTACTAGAAGCACCCCCTTAACAACATAACCTTTGGCTTGAACTGGCAATGAGTAACTTAGAACCATTGATAAATGATTGTTGGTGCAGTGGGTCGTTTAGATTCATCAGTTATATATTTTTTTGTCTTTCAGCCAAACCCCAGTTCCAATCCCCTAAGCCCCTCCCAACCTCCCCTTTCACAAAATAAAATAATGCAGATGCAGAAAAAAATGACTACTGTAGTCACACTCTTCCCAAACAGCTGATAACCCCAGTTAGCTTAATATTCAGCATATATAATTCATTTACATAATATAGCACTCTGGATATGGCCCTAAACCAGTTTTTATTCATATCTAGCGTCTGTCTAGATCAACCACAAAAACTCCTACAGCCAGCAACCAAACTACGGAACCTTCAGAAATTAAAGACCCACAATATTAAAATACACAGAACAAAATATCTGAGGTATAAGATAAAAAATGTAATTTTTTTCCTTTTTATTTGTATTTTTTTTTTTTTTAGAGTTGCTAAAATGATGTACTACTGCATGTATTGCAATACTCAGGCCTCGGAAAGCTTCCTTTCTCCCCACATTGGAAGGTTTTTATGGTTTTGTCATTTAGTATGGAGCAAAACGGTTGTATCCCCCTCGGTATATACTAGCCTGCAATGAAGAAAGAACGAGACCCACATCATCAGCATGGCTCCTAGTCTTGGCATCAGTCAAAGGTGCAAAAGCATTCTGAAACAAAGCAATTTGAGGGGTGTGTTTTTTACATTTTCCTTTTGCAACATGTGGATCATCAAAAAGACTAATGTGAAAAATAGACACTCAAAACCAACCGAAATGGAGGCACCCCCTACCCATCCCAGGTCATTCTTGGAGAACTAAAGATAGGGCCATTCTTGACCCTCCCCAATAGCTCCTCCTAAAGAAATTCCCTGTAAAACCAAATTCAGCCCAGTCCTCTTAGCTAAAAGGACTCTTATAAGCTGGACAACTGAAGGATTTTTCACTGTCTCATTTTTTTATTGGACTGGATTAAGCTTCCCCAAGGGAACAGAATAATCTACACTTGAGGTTGAATTTGAACAATTTACTCAATGTAATTCAACTCGCCAACACACTCCTCAAGTGGATGAGGTGTTGAAGCAGAGTTGTTGAATGCAGAATTGGGATGAAAATCTGAATCTACTTCTTACTTGACTTGGCTCTGCAAGCTGTATAGAATCTGATCTTGAGAAGGGAAGTTGTACACATGAATTGCTTGATGTAATTAAGCTTGTGCAAAACAATGTTTCCAGATCATGGCTGAATTTCTACGACTGAGCATCAGTGAAGTGTCTGGCCATGGCTTTAATGGCTACAAGGTGGCACTTAACGATTTCCTTTTTCTAAAAGTATTGGCAATTCAAATGAATGCCTACGGGGATTCATTTTTAGGATAAGGACTGATATTCTTGATCCGAGCAGAAAACTGCATGCCAAAGCTTTGTAATGATTGCATATGCTCTCACGTGATGGGCACGTCTTACTGTACTCAAGAGTTTCAGTGCATAGAAGTTTGAACAAGTACAGGCAAGTTCACCCCACCCTTACCTCCCATTTTTTTACCCTCCCCCCACCCGCTCCCAAAACAAAAACCCAGACCTGCCCCAAAACAAAAGACAACCCCCAAACCCAGCTGATTCCTTCTACTTTCTTATGTACTAGGTACACAAAGTGTGCCCCTCTCTATTTTCTTTCCTGGGCGACTATGACTTTAAACATGAATTGTAATAGGGGAGGAGAGGCAGTCAGATTCTCAGCTGCCTGACAGCAGAGGCCTGGAAGTGTGCAGCTTAGCTCCTCTGAAGTCTGTGCTGGGGCTGGAACCTTGGGGCTATGTGAATGAGCAGCAAGGGAGGAAAAAAGAAAAAAAAAGTTCTGCATTGACACTGCATTCTGTTAGTGATGGATTTAATTATCAAAATGACTAATTATTCCATTAAGGTAAGTGCTCCGCTAGGTGAGACTTGCAAAATTAGAAATATAATAACTTACATGCACTACATTGCCAAGAAATTAAGACATTTATCAAGTTTACTGGGAGGATTAATGTGCCATTTTAGCTGCTGTTAGCACAAGAGACAAATTCAATTAAGGGGAAGTGAAAGGACGTCAACCCGTACTGAGGTCCCAGCTGGGGGAAGGGAAGGGGGAGGCAGGAAGAAGTTGAGGACCAGGAGAAACTGGTACTCACCATGGCACCAACGCCGTAGGTGGGGGCTGGAGCAAGTGCGTGGTGGTAGGGGTCGGCAGCATAAACTCGTCCGTAACTGAAAGGAAAATAGAGGTGAAGAGTGATCCATACTATACAATTAAAAAATAACAATCATAAAATCCAAAATACCAAGACAGTATGGAGGGGGTGTCCTACTCATCTTGGAGTAAGAAACAAAATCTACTTTGCCATGTAATAGTTCATCTGTGTACAGTGCATTTTTTGTGCATTTCACATGGCTGATCATATTGCTATGTTTAACAGATGAATATATATGCATACACACGTACATATACATGATAATTTTCCCTGCCTCCCCACATAACATTGTTTCTACACTGCTGAAGTAACTGCCTTAGAGATCGAGGTAGGCAAGAAAGAAACAACTTGAAGTATTAAGCCCAGCACCCATGGAGGGTGGAATGTTTATTCTCAAGAGTGCCTTTTTCCCCTGATACAACTGTCACCATTCAAATGAAATAGGGTGAATAGGAAAGGGTGAAGTGAACCTGTCTGAAGTTAGTGTCCAGCATCTTAGAATGGAAATGAACAAGTGTATTTGAATGGAAGCACCCTTGAAGGGTCTGTGGGACCCCCATTCCCGTTCAATCAGACTCATTTGGTTTTGATCCTATTATTTCAGAACTTCAGTCTCATTCATCGATGGCCAGGTTTTGGGAAGGGAGAGGCATTTGAAACAACAAATCTTTATGACATTTATTCATCTTTGTGGTTTTCTGTCTCTACCATCCTACTCCCTACCAAGGCAACTTGCATGCTTGGTCCACCGTATCCTCTGCCCGTACTTGTTTGCCCTGCCGGATAAATGGTGCTATTTTAATATTGACTGAAGCTGAGGGTCCATTCCTTGAAAGCTGATTCTGGAATAGAGATTCCTGTGCAAGTGACTTATTGAAGGGGGTACCCTTAAGAGGAAGAGAGGGACAAGTAGGTCAGAGCAAGGGAAAAAAGCAAGGTCTGAGATGAACAATATCTGCCACCTGATCCTGTGAGTTTCATGCTGCAGCTGGTTCCACCTGGAGGCAAGCGGGTTGGCTTTTTAATGCCCACGTACGTTTTAAGCTTTAGCTGTGGGCTTTCCTGAGGAGTGAGTGATAAAGTGGCTTCCTCTGACGTGGCACAATTTTCTGGAGAAGGGAGCAGCTGTATCTGTTGGCAACCAACATTCACAGCAGCTCGGGACAAATGCATCAGTCACTCAGTGGGATCTACATGGTTTTTTGATTCTTTTGACCATCTCCTGAATGAAGGAACAAGGCTGGAAGAAATGAGTCTGTCTGCATTATCAACCTTAAACTCATCTCCCATCCCTTAGAGTCCAATTTGCATATACTTTTTCCCTCTCCTTTCCTGTTTTCGCCCCTTTTCCTTCCAATCTTTCTCACAGTTGGTAGATAAGTCACACCAATCCAATACATGCTTGACCCCTCACACTGTGGAGTCTGGGAAGGTAAAGGAAACGGGATGATGGTCCTTCTTAGACGCCAAGTTAGACCCTAGGTGGAATAAAACAATTATACCAGGTTTGCATTGATCATGTTCCAACTGTCAAAAGGCACTGACTGTGCAAATAATCTAGATGAGGCTTTCAGCTTCAACAGGATTCTCCTGATCCTCAATGACATGAAGGGATGCCTCTCTTCCGAGGTGAATAATGCACTTTCATTTGGCAAAGCTGTTTCATAAATAGAATATAAACTGCAAAGGCAAACTGAAATCTTTGACACTTTGTTAAGTGATGTTGTGGCATGGTGTTACTTCAAAACATGTGAAAAGATGCAAATTCAGATATTTCATTTTAAAAATTGGGGAAATAGTTTTACTGTGGCAATAATTTCCTCTTCTAGGGAGACACTATATGGGCAGTTTGAATGTATTGAATAAAAGTGTAGCTCCCACCTTTTACTACTGCATACTTTAATGGTAAATTCTATAACACTTGGCATCGTTTCAACCTTTGTGGAAAACCCAAGGTAACAATTTGGCAGTATTCTCTTCCAAGGCAGAAGGAAAATAAAGCAGCACTGAACTATTCCTCAGAAATGAGCTGGCTGCTTTTCTCCTCAGGGTGACCTCTACCTTCAGAATCCAATGGTTTTATTATGATTAATAAATTTCATTTCCATAGAGGAAAAGAGACCATGTCAGCTCAAACTGAAAGCAAGGAGGCTCCTTTTCAAATGCTAATTTATAAACACGCCCTTGTGTGACACTACAATTTAGACACAAGGTTATTACCGAAGATGTGGACTTGAGTGCTACGTTTGCAGGAGATATGCCAAGCACGTCAGCAATCTGATACACGCAGAGCTGGCTAAGCACAGCCCGGAGACAGAGCAAGGCAATGCCCAGGACATCTGCAGGAATGATGGGAAGATGTCTTACAGTTGCCATGTTAAGACAAGACCTGCAATATGGTCATCCTCCATACCATGCATCCCTGGCCAAAGTGGGCAGTAGTGCAGTCAGATCATGATCTCCATGTCCCCACTTCCCATTCATCAGTAATTTCAGAAGAAATCTTAAATGTGTCCACTTCACGCACGTGACTACACTAATATAAACCACTAGTAGTTCATCAAAACCAACTCAACAGCCTGAAATCTTCTTTGTTCAACCCTTGCTCCTTCAAACCAGCAGCTATTTATATGTATCAAATCTCTCAAGTCCATCTATCCACTTAAGTATAAATTTATATACATCTAAATCCTATCACTCCCTGCTTAAAACCCTTCAATGGTTTTCCATTGATCTTAGAATAAAATCCAAACTTTCATAAGCTGCCTCTGCCCCTCTTTCAATCTTCATCTTCCTTCCCGTGGCCCTTGGTTACTGTGCTCCAGGCACACAGGATTTTTTTTTTTTTTTTTTTTTTTTGAGATAGAGTCTTCTTCTGTTGCCCAGACTGGAGTGCAGTGGTGCAATCTCCATTCACTGCAAGCTACACCTCCCGGGTTTACACTATTCTGCTGCCTTCAGCCTCCTGAGTAGCTGGGACAACAGGCACTTGACACCAAGCCTGGCTAATATTTTTTGTATTTTTAATAGACACGGGGTTTCACCATGTTAGCCAGGATGGTCTCAATTTCCTGACTTAGTGATCCGCCTGCCTCAGCCTCCCAAAGTGCTGGGATTACAGGCGTGAGCCACTGCACCTGGCCCACACAGGCTTTAATTGTTCCTTTACACATGCAAATCCATTCTCTGCTTAGTCTTGGCACTTGCTCACTCTCCACCTGACTTTTAGCTTTTATGTTTCAAATCAAATGTCTCTTCCCTAGAGAGAAAGAGATGTTTCCTTCTCTGGCTCTCTGACTGCCTTTTTTTTTTTTTTTTTTTTTTGAGTCAGAGTCTTGCTCCGTTCCCCAGGCTGGATTGCAGTGGCATGATCTCAGTTCACTCTAACCTCTGTCTCCCAGGTTCAAACAATTCTCCTGCCTCAACCTCCCTAGTAGCTGGGATTGAAGGCACCCACCACCATGCCTGGCTAATTTTTATTTTTTTTTAGTAGAGAACAGTGTTTCGCCATGTTGGGCAGGCTGGTCTTGAACTCCTAACCTCAAATGATTTGCCCACCTCGGCCTTCCAAAGTGCTAAGATTACAGACGTGAGCTACCGCACCCAGCCTGACTGCTCTTTAAGGGTACTTTCCAACTTCATCCCTACCCCTTCATGTCATATAGCAACTCGAATCTTACTCCTACCCCACCTGATCATTTTACCTTTCACCCTCCTGGAATGAGAGCTCCATGCAGGCTGGGGCAGTGTCTATTTTGTCTGCCTTTACATTCCCAGTGTCTAGCACAGCCCTTGCCACAGTGCAGGTAGAGAGGGGCAGACCAATGGTACCGCAGGAGAGGAGGCAGCCAGACGAAGGAGTAAAGAGGGAAATGGGGCCTGGGAGATACTCATGCCAGTAATTACGATCCCACTAGAAGAATCTATCAGTATAGTCTTTCAGATAAGCTTTTTGAAGATTCTGGGTCAGCTGCTCCATGACACATTCAGAACCCTTCAAGACAGAAGAAAAGTTTCTGGGGACTTCTAGAAATAGTGTATAATTTATTTACATTGCTTCTGTGAGTTTGCAAAACACTGGCCAAGTTGCCCTAAAACTCATCAAAAGCCTCTGGGGGAAAAATGAAACAAAGATATCATAGAGGACTACTTTCCTGGCGAACTCACCACAGATTGCAACTATCATGAGACCTCATCTTTTTGACCTTTAGCAACAAGTTAAAACTGGAAAGCAACCCGAGACCTCGCGGATTCAGTACTTGGGGCAAGAAGATCCAGGTTTGAGTTCTGCTTTGATGATGTCCTTGTTCTCATGACTTGATGGAGCATGCTCTCTGAGCCTTCATCTTCCTCATTTGTAAAGTAGTAATTTTCTGAGCCCTGCCTAATTCAAGGTGCATTCAAGAAAACCAGGTAGATTTTAAGCCACCTACAGCTACAGGAGATCATCATGCACAGCTTTTTAGATGGTATTTCACAAACCAATTTCTCCCTCCTTGCCCAGACTTTTGGTCTGCAGAGGCAAGTGAAAGATTCTATTCTAATATAATCACATGCAACTCTACCAATCAAATTACAGATGCTTTTGGAGTCAACATCTAATTTATGAGTTACAGATGTCGTTTAAATAGATACACTTACTTGCACTTAAGGTCGTGTTGGAGCAAAATGAATAAGGATGCAGCCTCTTGCATGGGAATATGAACCCATGTTAAAGTGCTTTATTAACTCTACTGAGACATGTTAGAAGTACTATGTACATGTAGTTGAAACAACCTGGATGCTAACGAAATACAGTGGGCCCATGTTGGCACTCCACACAAGGGTTTTAACACAATTTTCTTATAGGGCTACAGTAAGAACACTAATTTCACTATATTTTACTCCCTATTTTGATGAGGAGCATTTATGCCCTGGGAACTTTCATTCTTCCATTAGTATCATCTTCCCATGCTTCCCAACCCAGAGATAGCTGGGTGAATCCCGTGGAGCAGAAAGATGAGTGAAATCTGTTCA